ATGTTCTCAACCTTCAAATAATAAGAAACAAATAGCTTCCTATTCGTATTTATAGGAAGCATTCATCCAGCAATCTAGTCACATAACAGTTATAACCACAATGGTAGGACATAGCAATCTAAATTCAAGAGCTCATTTTAGTGTGTGCATGAAACATTTAAATGGAAAATGATTCTTTTGACCCACAATTTTGTATTGCTCATTTCACAAGATTTCTGTTTGCCACAATTGAAGCAGGAAATTCTTGCCCATGAAGGGAAGACAAAGCCCCTTTCACGCAAAAGGAGTTGCTTCAAATTCTTGCAAGTGACCTAGAATGTGCTTGTGTTAGAAAGACATCTGCATTCCTGACAGGCACAGAAAGCAACAGGAAACTCAGTCTGCAGAGTAAGAGCAGCAGACAGCAGACGTTACCTTTCTATCTTTATTTAGCTTAAAAAAGATGAATTAGGGTTTAGTTTACTTACCACTTGCTCCAGCTTTCCTGATGCTAGCTCCTCTTGAAGCTTCTGGGCTTTCAGTGTACGTTTGGCCTGCATATTATGAATTTGGTTTATTATTTTAATAGCAAGTGTGCAGTAAGACTTATCACAAGCACCTCTTAAAACTGCTATTTTTAGAAAGTAATAATTATTTCAAGAAGTGGGCTACTGATTTGCTGGGTGCTTGTCAAAAATCAGCTGTGCAGTTTGCCTACTCTTATATTTACCATGGTTTTTGGTTATCAATGAAAGGAAAAGTGTACACAGTAACCATATTGATATTGTATATTATAGGCTGGAAAGCACCTCAAGAGCCTCTAGTCCAACTGCCCTGCTCAGAGCAGGGTGCACTATGGCAGATCGGTCAGGACCATGTCCAGCTGCTTTTGGGTGTCTCCAAGATGGAAACTCCACAACCTGTCTGGACAAACTGTTCTACTTCAATCCCTCATACTCTTAAGTGTTTTGTTATTTTTAAATTGAGTTTCTTATGCTTTAATTTCTGCATACTGATTCTTGTCCTGTCACTGGATACCACTGAGAAGAGTCTGGCTTTCTTTTTCATACTCTCCCATCACACCACTAAAATCCAGAATACCTTCACACAGCATTAGCTTCCCTGTGCACTGCAGGAAGATACTCAGATCAGGCCCACAAACGCATCTAACTGTCTTTTGGAACAGGCCTAGCATCCAGTCAAGGTAGTGGACTCTCTTTTTTTTTTCCCTCTATGAATTCAAGAGTGTCCATGTAGATTTAGTACACACAGCTACATTTACCACCAAGTTAGAAGCTGATCTGCAGGGACATTTACCTTACATTGCATTAGTTAGTCCACTAGTTAGTCCATGATACTAACAAAAAGTAACAAAAATACAAATAGAGTTAAAAAATACAGATGCTGGTTCTAAATATTACAGCCATCTTATATAATTTGGATTACGTTTTGTAAGGTAATTTGAATGAATTACCTTTTGTAATTCAATCTTCACTTTGAATAATGAGTTCTAGGGCCTGCCTAATAAGAGGCAGGCAATCTGGTCAGACA